ATCCGTTGCGCCAGAAAGCGTCTGCGCGTCGCGTCAGCCTTGGAGCGCGGCAGGTATCACCCGGGCGCTGGAAGAACGGGACGCGGCGAAGAAAAAATTTTAGAGGGGAATAACTTTCTTGGGACGTACTTTTTTGACTTGTTGAGGTAGATTTTGATTGTGCCTGAGGTGCGCTTTCAGAAAACTACAAGGATTGCCTAACTCTCCGGAAAGTACTTCTGTTAGAAGTGGAAAACCCAAAATTCTAAGAAGGCGCACCTTCAACTTTGAAGGCCCATAAATCTTTCGTATGCGACATTTTGGAAAGCTGTAAAAAGTTTCAGAAACTTCAAATATTTCTCTAACAAAACAGTATAAAAAGTTTAGTGATTGTCCCCTTTTTCAAAAAATTGTCCCGTTCGAACATTTTTCGTGCAAAAGCGAGTTTTTGGGCTTTCAGCGACCATAACTCACTTCATTTTCATTTCTGTGATGCACTTTTTAAGCGGGCATAACTCACTTCATTTTCAATTCTGAGATGCAGATGCATTCTGAGATGCAGAATAAAAATATCCCAAGTGGTGTATGTGATGAGTGAGAACAGCTGGAACAATTAGAGGTAAGAATACAAACTTTATTTTAAACAGTAATTTCGTTGTTCAAAAGTTATTTGGCATTTTTGCATGGACGTAGTTTTGTTGGGTCAAAGTCCGCTGCAATTTCGACCTGAAATTTGAAATTGAAATTAATAGATGAGGAAGTCAGCTCAATAATCTCCAGGTCGGCTGAAGCTTCTCAAGTTCTTGATGTAAAGATTCCTTGTTACCTCGGTTTTCTCGTGTGGAGCAATGCTGACGCTTTTCTTCGAATGTGCGCTCGAGTACACGCTGACCGCTGGCATTTGATTGACTGTTTTCTTGAAGCGTTCGATCTAGGATTTCAATCATCCTTTCGTTTAAATGGTTGAAGGAATCAGCTTTGAATACGGTTGGCCAAGCACGAGTACAAATGATTCTGTTACCGAATGTATAGGGGGGGGGCAGCAGAAAAAACATATACTCAACCTTCAAATGGATTTAATCACACTTTGATCGTTCCAAATCGATAATCTCGACTAAGAATCGGAGAGCACTCCTTCCACAATAAACTCCATAGTGATCCACTCTAGGGGAATCTGTCTTCTTTAGAAAAGACTGCCCAGGAATCGTCGTGCGCGGATCAAGCCCATCGCGGTCTTCGACGGATTTTATATCATTATGACGTTTTCTAGGAAGCGGGTTTCGAGGGGTTTGCATAGTCAGAGCTAATGTCTCTAGAAAACTATCCAACATTAAATCGATTCACGAAATTATGTAAGAGCTTCAGGCTGAAGCAGTTACGGTAGGCCTCCTTGAGCTCGACGACGATGACAGATGACGTCATATTCTGAAGACGGTGAGGGCAGTGAAGGAGGGCCTGCTTCTGCTTATAGAGGGACATTTAGGATATTTTGCTGCAATTCCCCGTCAACGACGGCAGTCTCTACGACAAAAAATCACTGAAGTACGACATGGGCAAAAAACTTTTTGTTTTGCCCCACCCCCCCCCCCCATATACTGGGTGGCCACAAATAACGGTAACATCCAAAGTGATAGTGGAAAATGTATAGGGCTGAAAAAAGGAGATCGGGACAGACTACTATATTAACTGAAGGCTAGTTAACTAAGAACAAGGTTCCTTCTCAAATTGGCCGCCTTTTGCATTGACAAATAATCCAAGTATTTCGGCTCACACACCGCGGCGTGTTATGGTAAAATGGCGAATTCATACCATACAATCACTTAGAATTGGGCCTTTCCGCTCAGGGGCCTTCACCTAGAAAAGCTTCTTGCTGCTTCAAAACCTACGCTTGATATTGTTGTAATCGTTAGTTTTTCAATGCATGCGACGTCTCCTGTCGTCGCAACTGTGACCACCCCTTACGATACGAAAAATGTGATAGCATAAGTGGGAATGCGCAGCCGGGGTCAACCGTCCGTTGGACAAAGTCCAACAAGGGGGTTGTATCTGGCCAACCGAAAGAGGGGGGTCGTATTCGCAAAGGTCAACGTCGCAATACGTAAGTGAGAGAATAGGGAAAGAGAATTAGAATAACTTTGAGTGCTTCCCCAACTATTAACCACAAACGAGTGCATGGCGCACCTCAGAGCAGAAGAGTCTACTGCAGAAGTGTCCATATTTGACTGTTCACGTACACAAATATGCTCTCGAGAAAAACCAATGTCTTCAAACTGGGCTTAAAGCCACGAGTCAGGATTAGGCAACCAGCAGAAGTTCTTCCCAGGGTGCGATAGTGGGCTCCCCAAGCACTGAGGGCGCGACACTATCGCGACCAAAAGTGCGCGGCAATGGCGCTAAGGCCTTGCCCGCCGCGCTGCCCGCGCTGCCAGCGTAATCCACCACGGCATACGTGGTCTCTGCGTCCTCTCGCGTACGACGTACTATCTCGCGTTCTCCCTCTCCTCGCAGCGCTGTGTCTCTCCGTCGTACTACGGCCGGCCTCCTAAGGGAAATTTAGTGTTTTCTATGGTGCTTTTTGCTTTTTCTCCTCACTAATGTTCCTCATTGCACCCCTTGCCTAATGTTTGAACAAAATAACGCATCAATTCAATCCTGACTCGTGCCTTTAAGTTAGTAAAAGAGTGACCACTTGGGTAGAGTGACTGTTAAAGGCTTACAAGAAAAGGAAAAAATTATTTGCCTGTGGCGACTTCCTGAAAAGGGTTTAGTATCTGTTATGAAGCACAAAGCTTGTGCGATGTCATGGTATCATTATTCCCCATAAAATTGAGTTTGAAGAGAGCTGTTAGTGTTTGAGTGTTGAAAACTTGTGTTTTCAGGAGAGTAGCTCCGAAAATGCATGAAAAAAACGGTCCAACGGGGCGATTTTTCGAACGGGTCATTTTGAAAACGAGATCAAGTATTCATTGAGAAGCCCTAACCTTCCAATTTCTTCCAGGCGGAAAAGAAGTATATGAAAAAAGTGAAAGGCTCAAACCTTCTAGTTTATCCCGGGGATGCAAAAATCGCTAAAGGTTCATTCTAAAGAAAGTTATAGTCATTGAAAGCCAAAAAACCTGGTTCTGAGAAAAAACGGTCCAACGGGGCGATTTTTTGTAAAAGAGACTTTGCAAAAGTTCAAGTACTTTTTAGAAAGAAAACAATCTGAACTTTCAGAATTTTCGTACCACTTATCTCAATCCCACGCTTGTAGGAAATTACAACCTTTCAAAAGAAGAATTTCTGTGAATTTTTGTCTCTCTATGCCACAACTAACACGGTTTTGAAGATACTGTACAAAATGATAGTTTGCTGATGCTAGCGGTCAACGGCGGTACGGTAGATAACAAATCTCCTTAGTGTTCTGAAAAATGTTGACGATGGCAGAAATACACTTAAATGAAAATTAGTAGTCTGCCTCGATCCATCCGGCGCTGGGAAAGATTTTGCGCGCCAATGCGAACACGATGCTACCGCGCTCAATCTAGTAACGCTCGATGTAGTAGTACGAAGCAGTGCGCAAAAATACACGAATACCAAGGGTACATTACATACAAGTGTTTGGAGGAAGGGGTCGTTAATTTTCCAAAATTGGTCACGTGGCAGTTGACCCTGTGCGCAACTTCCCTTCGTAAGATATTCCCCTTCTTGGACTGACCACTCCACATTTTATGCCACCGCATAAGTTGAGTTGTAGGCACTGGCTTTGTCAGTCCAGGTTGTTTGTGTTCGCGCTTACGATCATTTGGTGAATTCGATTTACCTGTTTCAAGGCGATCTCTGTGACATCGGGGGCCATGTCACAACTCTCACGATATGCTTCTCCGGCCGGACATTCAATCAGGAAACATATCTGTAGCAAACCAAAAGAAATGCCTTAGTAAACATTATAAAATTACTATCAGGAGCAAGAGCGCTCTCGCAAAATTCGGAAAATACGGCAGTTGAGGGCACTTTTCACGGACAAGTTTGTGTTTCCTGTTCAGAATAGGAAGCGAATTGAACACAGTGAAGAAAAAACTGTAAGCAAGCCCTGACATGAAAGGCCTTTTCTTTGATGGTTGACCTGAATAGGAAAGAACGCAGTCATACAGCCATTGTGCGTCAACGCAAAAGAATATAAGCAGCGATGATGACGTGACCCAAGCGCTCCTCTCGCGCAGTTTTTACCCGCGGAAACGGCACACGTTCTACCTTTGCAGGTAACTCCGTCCTGCTTATGGAAAATGTTGCAGCAACCCAGATGGTTCCACACAATTGCTACTAATCTGAAAAGATGCATGGGCCCTAATCAAGAAGAGGAAGTGCTGTTGGAGCAGAAAGTGCCTTTGAAAAGAAGATATGCTTTGCATAGGCGCAACTTCGATCCGTCCGCCTTTTCGTGGACACTCTCCATCGCTGTCCGTGGTCGTACGCAACATAGATTGACAATGGCGCGTTCCGGACAAGAGCGCCAATAGCTATGATACGGGCAGCAAACTGGCGCGATTATGTTCGCTCGTCCGGACGGGTCCCCTTCTCACTCCGAAATGGACGAGAGAAGGAGTCCTTGTTAAAAGCTCCATAGGCGGTTTGCTTTGGTTCTTTTCATTTTGATTCAATTCGGCATCCAAACTTCAACGATCGACAGCTGCCACTCCACCAAATTGATTTGGTGTTGTTGCTTGAAATCACCTCACTTTGTCGCGGAGTGTGCCTGTAAGCTTAAGCCGGTAACGTGACCGTACATCAGTGGCTATCCGTTCCAAATCACTGCTTTGACGGCGGTGAAGCGATGGAAATGAGGAAAAAGTAACGTACTCGTTGATTTTTTGCCATACTTTCTGCCACGTAGTACTTCAACATTGTTTTGCTGGCCACAGGTTTATCATCAACCTCACTGAAGCGTCGTTCAACATCAAAGGATTCTTTTTTGTTTTTAATTCCAATTTTGACGATAAAGAAATCTACGAGTAGTAGTGATTTTATTGATGAAAGTTTTCTTACCGAATAATGTCACCGGGACGGAGATGAACAGCAGCGATACTCGAGTAGTCAACATTATGGACCTGAATGGAAATTAGCCTACATATTATTTGTCTCACATTAGATGACAGTGAAAAACCACTTGATGTCAAAGAACCGCTCTTGACGTATCCATACATTATCACGAAATTAATTCGACATGGAGCCCATTTTCAAAACGGTTTTCTGCAGATTATAGAGGCACGCGGAGGGAGCATAAAATCAAGAATCATTTTTTCTGCGCGGCTGTGGAATTGTCAAAGAAAAACAGTTCGGAACCAGAGCTCGTCATTCGATCCCCACCGAAGACAGATTTGTGCATTTCTCTGATTTCCTCTTTCTTGGTCTCTTATGTGTCTAGGCTCATTCACTGAACGATAAACTTCCGAAATGCTAATGTTCAACTTTAGAAATTGCAGGTTTAATAGATTTCTTGTGCCTTACGAGGTTGTTCGGTGGAACTTTTATTAATGGCCTAACGTTTCGACTGAATCGTCGTCTTCAGAGGCCGTCGGTTCCACCCTTTAGCGGAAAGGTCCGCTGCCACACAGAGCGCTAGTCAGATAAAGTCGTTAGTCAGTTTTAACCACACACAGAGTTCTTGTCACTTAAAATCGACTAGCGTTTTAACTGACTAGCGCTCTGTGTGGCAGCGGACCTTTCCGCTCAAAGGGTGGAACCGACGGCCTCTGAAGACGACGATTCAGTCGAAACGTTAGGCCATTAATAAAAGTTCCACCGAACAACCTCGTAAGGCACAAGAAATTTATCAAACTTACAACTGACATGCCGAGGTTACAAGAAGAGAGAAGAGGAGAATGCTACAAATTGCTTCAAATGCTGTAATGAACAGCAAAGGCATGCCTCGGGATCACACTGGTGTGGCTCTTGCACACGAATGCGAATGTATTGGTGCGAAATGGGTCGGCAGCAGAGAAAAAAGGAAAAGAAGCCGTCGAAAACACTTGCTCAAAGGAGAATTCACGATAAGAACGAAGGTCGAAGAAGGGAGAAATTGCCTAGTTGGGAGACAGGCGGACCTCCTGAGGGTGCTGACCGACGCGCAATTGGCAGCGAAAGATTTGACCTCGGCGATCTAGCATGGCTCACTCTTGGCGCGGTTGGCGGGGTACGCCCACCGACTATCTAATCACTCGCCGCAGGTCTATACGTGGCGAGTGATTAGATAGCAGAGAGAGAGCGTAGTGTTGAAGAGGGCACAGCGATGAGAGTCGCATCAATGCGCAAATCAACGGGCAAGGAAGGGGTCCCATTTCTCGGGTTCTGGGCCGTTTCTCATGGTTCTTCCTTCTTTCGTGTACCACTCACCATCCCTAAGTTAATTTGAAATGGGTTGCTCTTCCAACGTGAATTCGTCCTTTAAAACGTTGACGACAGCGTGACGCGGTAACGCGTCCCACCCAAGTCATCCCTTTTTCTTGCGCTTGCGCGACTTATTCCTAAGGTCTTACTCATTCTATAGGTCATACATTAGCATACTCATAAATCCACATGGCTCACAGAAAGGCCTAATATTCTTCAGTTTGGCAGAGGTTTGCATATTGATAGCTCATAATCGATTTGGTGTGCGGCGGCAGTGCTCGCAAAATTGCTCTGGTCCCACGCGGTGCGAAAGCATAAAACGCGCGATGTCGCTAACGTGTTGAGAGCTCACTCACTTCTTAATCGGCTGTGCTAAGGGAATGAGAGACTAAGCGCGGAGAGGAGAGTATGAGGCGAGAGAGCGCTACAGATGAGAGAGCGCCAGACAACAGCCTGATAAAAAAATCTGCAGCTTCAGCAGCTTACTTTGCAAGGCCCAAGCGCTCTTGTCGGTTGGTTTCCGTGCACGGAACGCCACATTTGTGATTGTCCTCTAGGATCTGTACTTCAGACCGAAGGGAAGACTTCTGCCTAGGTCATGCTCTCAAAGTGAAAGAAGAAAAGTGTGTGCGAGAGATCATGACGTCGATGAGGGAAGGAATGAAGACGAGCACGATGCACAAATCTCCATTGTGGGGATTGAGACATTGTGAAGGTAAGCATCAGGATTCAACGTAGAATACGACACAAAAGATACACCGCTGCCACACACATTGGAGCCATACAAAGGTACCGTATGTGTGCGTGCCCGTTGATCAGATTGCTAAAGACCTCGTTGTCCTCAGAACCTCTGCACATGACAAGTGTCTATCAATTTTGGGATTATGCCGGTACACATATTGTCTGAGTATACTACCTGTTGCATAACAGATTAGGGTTGATCAACTGAGTTTTGGAAACAGAAATCACGCTGTATCAGCACAACCAGAAATTGAGAAAATGGAACACCTGCAACCTCTCCCTTGCGTCATATTTCACGTGAAGACCAAGTTGAACATTGCTTAGTTCGGGAGCAGTGCTCATCTGGATCGCTATCTGAAAACCAGGCACATTTGTCTCAGGATAGACACGATGGATTGCGTCTGATCCGCTCTAAAAGCGGCTACTTTGACAACTCAGGCATGGAGTGCCCGACGTTCATGATCACATTTGTGCTGCCATCAAGCATGCAGACGTTGGGAGGTAAAGATTTCCTTACATACAAAATGGCAAAGCAATACCAGTTTATCCCGTTAGGAACTTATTTAAAGGAAGAAAATCTTAGACCGATTCAGGTAAGATGGCTCTCTAGGATTTGTCCGATCTGTTTTCTCTACCGCTGAAGGCGATGACTTGATTCTGAACTTTACTGCTGTTTTTGACCGCAGTTCACCACGTACAAGAACTTCGGTAGCCAAACCCGTGCCTCTCTGTTCCCGGCGGAACTGCTACCAGTTACACTATCGGGGCACTGTTCGACACTAGCTCGACCTCTAAAGGTAGATTCACCACCAGAATTGTATCCCAACACTGCCGTGTCTTCAATTACTTCACTTCAGCTTCACGCCCTCTGCTGTGGCTCCTTTACATTTGGGACACCAACACTATGACAAAAAGGGTTTCTCACATAATACGGGGTACCACCACAATCATGACATGAGATTAGAGGAATCCTTTGCAAAAAAACGTGAGTCTATCACACCCATAGATCACTGGCTTGAAACCACTCGTTCGCGATAAGAACGAGAAAAGCCAAAAAAAATGCATTTGTTTTGGTAAAAATTCGAAAACCAAACTGCTACGCGTTCAAATTCCGCCGGACATCTGTCACAAATGCTGGCGGCGGGAATGCTTCCACTTGGTTCACGGAGTGCTGTCACTAGAAACTCTTTTGACCTTTTGACTTATTGCACTGACATCTCACACTTCTACATCGTATTCCATCGTCTGATTGTCTCCATGCGAAATCGAACGCTTTGACCGGATTTTTTTACTGCGTCGCCGAGTCGTTGCCCGCTTCCCTCTTCCCCGAGGTACACTCCCTTCCATGTCCTGCCTTTGGCGCCGCGCAACCCACCTTCGACCGTCCATAGTGTGTGGTTTTCATGAGTTTGTTTCTCTTCGGAAACCGAATCTTCGTGTTTGAAACTTTGTGCGTTGTTTCTAGTGATCATTCTAGTGACACGTTCATGATGGGAATAAATTTAAGAGTTGGGACGATTCCTTGTTCTCATTGCGTACTACGTGATGGACATGGTGCAGCACTAGATTAGGCTGTGTGGCGGCGCCTTATTTTTCATTTTCCTTCTTAACTTTCGTTTTCCAACTCTCTTTCAGCCAGCGAAGCTTGCCGTGCGAACTCGAAGTTTCAGATCAGTGTTGAGGTTAATTTTTACGTAATGGCATTAATGCGACAAAACCTTCTAGTGTTCTTGTGGTACGAGATGACACTCACTTCGTGCATATGCACCCCTCCGCGAGATGGTGACCTCTCAAGTGGAAGTGAGCACAGCGGAAGGCGGACACAGGGAAAGGGAGGTAGCGGCGCCTGCCGGGAGACAAACAGGCTATTTCATATTGATCTCATAATTGGTCAAAAACAACTTTTCCAAATTACCGAACCAAAAAATAGTAAGATGGATTATGGCGGTGTTCCTCACGAAGTAAACGTCAATCGGCCTTCCTGTGACTTTTTCAGTGTCCTTATCCATCTGAATTCGCTCCAGCGTCGTACATCGATGCTCACACCATGACCACATGCCATGCCGTACTTTTACCGACACTTTCTGAAAAAAAAACATTCAAATCTTATGTATGATAAGCAGCTCAGTTTCTCATCTATGTAGAAGTGTCCTCCCTCCTGCGTGGTCCGCTCCTCTGAATTTCATGTCTGTGAAATCAAGCGGACATCGGAACGGGCAATAATTTTAGAAAAGAAAGTCGAGGTGTTGCTGCTGTGAGGACGTGCTTTGCTGGAACGCTCATTCAGATTGATAGTGGGTGTCAATAATTTTTTTCCTAAAAGTCGTTATAGAATTCGAGCGCGTTGCTGTATTAACGAAATTGTCTACAAATTTGAGGAGATATTTGCTCACTGCGAAAGCGATGGTGATTCATGGTCTGCTAGAAAGGTGGCTATTGATAGCGTAGTTGCAAAATGACGCCTATCACACGCGGATAAAGAGTCAGAATACATACTGTCGTCAGTTTGTCAAAGTCGATGCTATTAAACAGCGAGAACAGCATTCCCCTTCCACGCCTACGTATATAGATATCTTTCATCTATTTTGATGATGTGTTTCGCAGATTGCGTCGTAGTCAAGCGCGCTCTAGTTCCGGCAAAAGCATGCATGAGCCTCTTAATGCCTCCAAAGTTGAGGGTGAACCTTACCATAAGCAAGACACTTAAGGAAAAGTGACTGAAGCATAACCCGGCAGATTCGTCTTGTAAGGTTTAGGGTTGAGTAACGAACAGGTACGAATCGATATAGTTGCAAGCTGGTCATCAGATCAGAGCAAGCTAGAGCTGAGATGAATTCTACTGATTACAGCGCGACGACGACGAATGCGGCACGGAGTGGAGGCCAAAACAGACGGTATTGAAGAAGATCGACGGCTCGGTAGACGGCTGCTCCGTCGTCCCCTCGGACCCATCGCTTCCCGGACGACGATACCCGTTACCTTATTCACTTCTGTCGCGAGTATCAGATTCCTGGCAACAAACTATTCAGCTATTCGCAGGTGTTAGAGAAGGCTAAGATATAAGGTGGTCCCCCACATCACGACTCTTGCAACACAGCCGATGATTGTTTGTGCACTTTAGAAATTCATGTTAGGCTCAAGAAGATATAGCCTTAAGAAACGCTCAGAGCAAGGAGGTTTTGTACGTCTGCTGGAGTTGTATTCTGATTAAGTATTTCTCGAAGCTTAGTTTCGAAACATTTTCATATCAAGTGGCGCTCCTCTCAGGAAGTGGAGAGCAGCAGCAGTTTCGATAAAGCTCTCCTTCCAAACAACGATAAAGACCGAATTGAAGTGAACAAAGTAAGTGTTGCTAGATTTTCGCAGCTACTTCGCAATCATCAGCCTTTACACACAGAACCGCCAGGTATTTTTCTACACTTTTCTTATCGCTTTCTTCGGTTTTCTTTTACGCCTCTGGAATTATAAGCCTAGATATCTCCATGTTGACGTGTTCTTGAGCAATGCGTCACAGCCTGCTTACAAGGGAAGGATCTCAGGTCGGTGAACTGGTAACTTGTAATGAGACATGTGTCAGTAGATGAAGTTTGGACGCTTACTCGAATCCGTATTTCAAATGCAACGACAGTGGCTCGCAGGCGAAGGGTCTTATGATTGTAAATAGTAACGGTCTTATGACTGTAAATAGTAAAAAGTAAAAGTCGAAAGTAACGAGCCGTGTTTGGCTCTCCAAGCGCTAACATAACGGTATTTGGTAGAAAGGACCAGGTGCGTGCATCCTAAATACCGTAACAATCAAGGGGAAAGTGTTTGCTCAAAATTCTCTCGAACTCCTCATGCAGGCGTCTCTGCGTGAGTAGACGACATAGTAGACGAAATGACGTATTGGGTTGACCCATAATTTCTGGCCGAATTTCAACACTTTGATTTATTCAAGTTTTATCTTTCCTAAAGAACAATTGATCAAAAACATAACCACCATCATAATCACTGATATGCACCCATTTGCTAGGGAACGAATGGATGCATTCCCAGAACGAGAGAAGCTGTGAGATGAAAAGCTCGAAGAGGTCGTTTTTGGGGTGGTTGTATTTACTGACTTTTTCCTCTCCTAGCTGCTGCTTCAGGGAGCTGGGAGGTGATAGTACGATGGAGCAATGTCAGGGCTATACGATAGATGTGGTGTCGTGGTCCAGCCAGTTTCCCTCGAAACGTGGCGAGTTATCTTTGCAATGTGATTTCGGGCGGTCCTCCGGATAAAGGAGATTTTGAGACTTTTCCAACCGTCCTCCCGCACTGCTGCGGCCAACTTTGGAAGCTATTCCATGGTTACCTTCGCAATGCTTGTCTGCATAAAGTGAAATGGTTCTCAAAACGGGATACCCAGCGAATCCAACAAAACGGGGGTCACACCCTCTGATGAAACAGCTCGGGTTTGGTTGATGTGCTGCGTCCAGGCTGCGAGGTAGCCACCGGGCGAGCCGCGTGTTGTTATCGTAGGGGACTCATGACTCATCTGCACTGGTGACCAACTAGGGAATGTCTTGTCTATACGGTCGCAGAATGAAACTTCTGCAGATGGTCAGGCGTGCTTCTCGGTCATGGTCAGTCGATGCATGCTGTTTCCATCGAGACTTCATTCTGCTACAGCCCCTTCCATTCAGGTGTCGACTCATGGAGCGTAGGCTGCGTCCAGATGTTTGCTACAGTTTCCTGCTAATAGCGTCCGGATGCACTTCCTATTCGTAGCGCAAGGGTCCTCATCGAAAGTGACTGGAGGTCCATGATGAGGTCGAACTTTGCAGCTCCTATCGTCTTTGCCGATGCTATTGAGCCAATAGCTCAGTGCCCGATCAGTAGCAAAGACTGGGGCAAACGTAGCGCTGATCTTGCCTACCGCGCTCCTTGCAAGGTTCTTCTTAAAATTGTCGCAAGGCATAATCGTTGGGTTTGGTTGTTGATCTATTTTTTGATTCCTACTTAATTATCCCTTTGCGCACTTAAGCTTCTGAATCATCCTGGCTGAAGGTCCTGATGTGTTCTTCAACATATTAACTTATTTCATCATGAAGCTAATTTGACATGAAGAAAATTGAATTTGAACCAAAATCGGCCAGAAATTATGGGTCAACCCAATAGATAAAAATGTTTTCATACAGATGCTGGTATTTGAAGGAATCGATCTCTCGACCTGTTTCCGGTTAGTCAAGACAGCTACTGTTCTCTTGTGTTTTATACGGTCCACATCTGGCCATCTGAGCAGGCGTTCCACAGGAAATGACGTGGGGCCGCCGCTTTAGGTAGAATTTGTGCGGATACGCTGCCTCCAAAAACATCGATGAAGCAGCACATGCTGGAAACAGCGACTTCTATATGTGCGGCGGCCGACACGTCACGTGCGGAAATGCGCTTACTCAGACGGCGTCAGATGGACTGTAGCTATTTCTAAAGTCGTTCCCTAAATTTGAAGGATTTGTGCCCAAAAACACATTATCGACGGAGTGTTATCACAAACGGCCACTTTGACGTAGGGTCCTTTCCTTGTTAGTAGCGTGATAATCTTTTTGTTCCGTACTCCTGCGACCGAAATATGCAAGACGCGAGATGAAGCAGAGCAGAGCTGTTGCGAAACTGCGAATCATGTTACCTTTTCAAAAGGCCTTAGTTGGTATGCGGTAATATCATCTGATTCCCCAATCAACTTGTGAACAATCCCTACCATATATAATGCGCTATGTCTGTCTGTCCGTCTGTCACGAAATTCGGTATCAAGCGAACAACAACCTACAGGGTCCAGGTCAAGTTTGGGATGGGTATACCATATCCCTAGAAGTAAAAAACACACATCAGCCAAGCGGAGCCCCGCCCACAGTGGGCGTGGCGTGCATCGGTTGATTCCAAATACAGTCAAAAACAGCCTCGAGACTGGAACAAAAAGTGGTTATAAATGTGCGTCGGTAAGCCAGATTGCATTGGGGAGACCCACCCTCGGTGGGCGGGGCGTTCTCTGGAAAAGCGGTGCTCAATAAAAATATCATAAACTAGGTTAGGAGGAAGCCTACAGAGCAGAAAAGAAATTAGTGCAGGGCAGCGAATGTCTAAGGTATTTCCAGCACACATGATGTGAACGGAGGCCGCCCACAATGGGCGGAGCGTGTCCTGAAGTAGACGACGTTTTCTACAAGAGCTCATAAATCGGCTCCGAGATGACTTAGAAACCTGGAAAACAGTGGATACAGGTTAGGAGAAGAGGAGAAGCTAAATGTCAAGGCTGGGCGTAGCTTACACCAAAGTGGGCGGAGTTTGCAACCAGCCTCATAACTCGGTTCCTATGAGTCCCGGGGTGTGGGGAAAAGCGTATAAGTGTTGGCAGAGGGAAGGGGGTCAAGTGCTGTGGGCAGGTGGAGCATGCATTAAAGTGGGCGGAGTTTGCCACGGTACTTCATAACTCGGATCCAATAAGTTCCGGAGATGGGAAAATAGTAGAATGAGGTTGGGGAAGAGATGATAGTCATTTGGTATCGGTGAGCGAGGCATGTAACGAAGTGGGCGGGGTTTACCACAACGATACGTTGCTCGATTTCGTCCCCTACAAGACCTCATAATTCGGCTCCGAGATGACTTAGAGACCTGAAAAAAAATATGCCAGAGGTGAAAGTAGGAGTAGAGGTTGAATGTGAACGCTGGGCGTGGCACACCCGGATGTGGGCGGAGTTTGCCACCGCTCTCATAACTCGGTTCCTAGAAGTTCCGGCGACCGGGGAAAATGTGCATAAGTATTGAGGTATGGAGTAGGGTTGAATGCCATTGTTGGGCTAACCATGCACCAAAGTGGGCGGGGTCTGCCTCAGAAATTCGTGACTCATAACGCCATTTACAAGACCTCATAATTCGGCTCCGAGATGACTTAGAGACCTGAAAAAAATATGCCAGAGGTGAAAGTAGGAGTAGAGGTTGAATGTGAACGCTGGGCGTGGCACACCCGGATGTGGGCGGAGTTTGCGGCGTAAGTAAGATGTACCGAGCAGAAAGCTAAAATCAAGACAAAAATACTGAT